AAGGGATTTTTAGCCCTTTGATGGTGCAGACTTTTTACAGGGCTCAGTTCCAACTCCCTAGCCCCTTAAGATGAAGGCCTCATCTCCTATACTAGGTGGGTGGGAGTTAAAACCAAGAGACCCTTCGTTAATGAGACCAGTAACCAACCCAACCCCCTCTCTCACCATGGACTGCTTTGGTTTTCAGTTTTTCTTAATTTTTGCAAGCTTAGCTCTGCATTTAAAAAGTTTTGTTATAGAAGAAAACATTCTTTGATGGTTACGAGGGTGGGGAGGGAAGGAGAGGGTTATCCACTAACTAGATAGCAGATAGTCCGTAGGTGAAGGAAAGGAAGGACAGCAAACACTACAGGGGAAGTCAGCAAAACTGGACTAAACCAAAGCTAAGAAGTTTCCTGAATACAACCAAACACTTTGAGGGACAGAATAGCAGGGGTGGAGGTCTGGGGACCATGCTTTCAGGAGATATCTAGATCAATTGGCATAACAAAGCATATTAAGAAAATGTTCTGCATCCTACTTTGGTGAGTGGCGTCTGGGGTCTTAAAAGCTAGCAAGCAGCCATCTAAGATGCATCAATTGGTCCCAACCCACCTGGAGTAAAGGAGAATGAAGAACACCAAAGTCACAAGGAAAGCACTAGCCCAAGAGACAGAAAGGGCCACATAAACCAGAGATTTCATCAGCCTGAGACCAGAAGAACTAGATGGTGCCTGGCTACTACCAATGACCGCCCTGACAGGGAACACAACAGAGAGTCCCGGATGGAGAAGGAGAAAGGTGGGATGCAGAACTCAAATTCTAGTAAGAAGACCAGAATTAATGGTCTGACTGAGACTGGAGGAACCCCGGATTCTCTATTAGCCCAGAACTGAAACAATTTTTTTTTTTTTTTTTTTGAGCTTTAGGATTTCAGAATTGAAGATAAGAGATTATGGATCTATATTATCATGGATGCTTAACAGTACTAATGATCAAAACCTTAAGTGGAAAAATAAATAAAATATAAATTTATAGCTAATAATACCAAGAGGCAGAAGAGAACAAGGGGATAGTGTGTGCTTTAAAGTCAGGAAAGGTGTGCCATCAGGTTGTATCCTTTCACCATACTTATTCAATCTGCATGCTGAACAAATAATCTGAGAAGCTGGACTATATGAAAAAGAATGGGACATCAGGATTGGAGGAAGATTCATTAACAACCTGTGTTAATGCAGATGACACAACCTTGCTTGCTGAAAGTGAAGAGGACTTGAAGCACTTACTGATGAAGATCAAAGACCATAGCTTTCAGTGTGGATTACACCTCAACATAAAGGAAATAAAAATCCTCTCAACCAGACTAATAAGCAACATCATGATAAACGGAGAAAAGACTGAAGTTGTCAAGGATTTCATTTTACTTGGGTCCCTAATCAATACCTATGGAAACAGCAGTCAAGAAATCAAAAGACGTATTACATTGGGCAAATCGGCTGCAAAAAACCTCTTTGAAGTGTTGAAAAGCAAAGATGTCACCTTGAAGACTAAGGTGCGCCTGACCCAAGCCATGCTGTTTTCAACTGCCTCATATGCATGCAAAAGCTGGACGATGAATAAGGACTACGGAAGAAGAATTGACACCTTTGAATTGTGGTGCTGGTGAAGAATATTGAACATACCATGGACTGCCAAAAGACTGAACAAATCTGTCTTGGAAGAACTACAACCACAATGCTCCTTGGAAGCAAGGATGGCGAGACTGCGTCTCACATAATTTGGACATGTTATCAGGAGAGACCAGTCCCTAGAGAAGGACATCATGTTTGGTAAAGTAGAGGGCCAGTGAAAAAGAGGAAGACCCTCAACAAGATGGACTGACACAATGGCTGCAACAATGGGCTCAAGCATAACGATTGTGAGCATGGTGCAGCACCGGGCAGTGTTTCATTCTGTTGTACATAGGGTCCCTTTGAGTCAGAACTGACTCGAAGGCATCTAGACAACAACAACACCAAAGTAATTTCATGACAATCATCAAGAAATCCACCTTCCCCAAATTTTAAAGGCAATGAACCAGAGAATATAGAAAAGTCTATTTCCCACTAGCAAACGTATGTTCAATAAAGTAGTAATATTACCAGAACCAAAGTGGATAACCAGGTCCCTGGCAAAAGATATTTAGAAAAATAATGGCCAGGTTAGGGAAAAAATTAAAAAGTAGCAGAGGACTGAGGTTTAAAAAGGATCTATGCAAACGCATCTGAAAAAAATCTCAGACTTTCAGGGCTCGCTGGTGTGTTAAATTATGGAAAACTACATAAATCAACTTTCAACTACTATCAGAAAACTGGCTATGAGAAGTAAAAACTAATTTCATCATACGTTTCAGTTTCAACTGCTCACTTAAAGGTCCTGCATTTTTTAAGAGGAAGGGAACAGTCATCAAGGTTTGTAGTGACAGAATCACCACTCCTTAATTATCAGCGGTCTTACCTATATATCCAATATCTAACAAGTTGATTACCCAATTAGAAGAACAGTTTGACATTTTCTTTCACATTAACTTATATTTACCTAAATGACTCAGGATCCTAAGAGTAGGCATACAGCACCACTTAACCAAGACTACACACTAGTCCACTCACTAACATGGAGAAAACTACCAGAAACCAGCTCATCACACAGTCCCATCCCTTACAAAGTGGAAGCAAAGACAGAAATAGAGAATTCTGCAAGGGTATGCACCCTGAGCATTCTACGGATCATGCTGTGCATAAACCAAATGGAGGAAATGTAAACAGTTTTTCTCTACTTTCTAAAATCACATACACTCCCTTTCAATCATTTGAGCAGCTATGGTAACTACAGAGCCAACCCCAAACTTCAAAGATATAAAGGGGCTCCAAGATGAGACCAGCGAGGCAAGGCAGTGGGCCATATGCACAGCTCTGCTCAATCTGAGAGTCGTCACTAGCTCCACTTCTCACAGTTAAAGAGTAGTTGTTGTTGTTGATGGCACCTAACAACAATAACAACAACTACTCTTTAACCGTGAAAAGTTCGAGATTTGCCTTAAACTTTACATGTAAGTAGATATTCAAAGAGTTCTTCCATTCAAGTCATCCAGCACCCCTCAAGCACTTATCATACACCAGGCACAAGCTGGGCACGAGGAACACAAGTGCAGAAGAGAACAAATGGCACTAGAAAGGTCAAGGCACTATTATAAGAGACTCAAGATGCGTATGTCTTTGTGTAACTTTCCATCAAGCTGGAGACAAACAATATCCTTCTAATGCATACCAAACACATACTTTAAAACAAAACTGAAGGGAAGTATCACCCTGGATGATTTCCAGCAACACACAATGAAAAATGAAGACAGGAACTTGTGTGAGTCTCTAGCTTACACAGGTAAGTTATATACTGCCTTTAATAAGCATTCAGCAAAAATAGATGTATAAAAATAAATTTAGTTGGTTGGTATGAACCTGAGAGCTGAACATTTAAAACTCAAAAGCTATTTAGCCAATTCACTAATACAATCTAACTGTACAATATGACAACTATTTATCAAGTAGTTAAGTAACCTAATATCACTGAAATAACATAAATCCAAGTTCAAGGGTTCCACACATCACCTGGGCAATAAGAAATTAAGAAAAGGCAGTCAAAAAAATGCATATGTAAAATAAACATTTCAAAATATAAGATGCTTTTGAAATATACCATTGACCAGCTTCTTTGTTATTAGAAACTACCATACTTTTGAAAAAGAAAAGCTCAAACTTGACTGTTACCTAAAGAAAACAGATGATCATTATACCATCACCCCTATAATTGTCTGGTACCTGCTGAGACAGAGACTAAAGAAATCATACTTATGCCCAAAAAAAACTCTGATGCAGCCTCATACATCACAGTGAAGAATATGTTTCCTTCTACCAGACCCTAAGCTGACTATCCAAACAACATTCTAAATTTTACAGTTTCTCAGCATCCTCTAGGAAAAAAGTTTTCACTAAAACAATACTCATCTTACACTTAACATAGTTCTTCCACTAACTTCCTCGAGCCAAGCATCTCTTATTTCTTTCTAAATCTTCGTATTTATAGATATGTCCTGAGTATTCAGAACAGACTACTTCATCACCTGCTAACATTCCATTTTTAAAATCCTTAATAAAATATGTAGTCCCATGATTGATAACAGAGTAAATAAGAATACTCTATGAAAGTTCTTCCGTGTGCTAAGTTAAACGAGGGGATATTCTAGATACAAACAAAGAATTCTTTCTATTCAAGTATTTTGACCCTATTGCTTTTCATCAAAAAATAATAATTCTAATTGTTATATAGATCTTACCAAGATTGTGTCCATCTCACACTAGTAATCTTACTAGATATTTCAGTGAATATTACTGGGTTTTTATTACCAAAAGTGAACAAAAGAAATAAGTAACCACCAAACTTTCCAAAATGTCCAAGCCTTTTCAATGTATCACAGAAGGCTTAACAGAATGTACCAAAAACAAAAAAATCAAACCCGTTGCTGTCAAGTCAATTCCGACTCATAGCGACCTTACAGGACAGAGTAACACTGCCCCACAGGATTTCCAAGGAGCTGCTGGTGGATTCAAACTGCCAACCTTTTGGTTAGCAGCCTTAGCTCTTAACCACTGAGCCACGAAGGCTACACAGAATGTATATCAATCAGGGTAATAATCTACCAATTCTTAATAAGCTCAAAAGACAGATCAACTAAAATTATGCCTTTCTCCCTCCCTCTTTAGACCCAAATTTTCTCACTTTTCTTTCCACTCATAAAAGTAAAGAGCAAACAATAAGCTGCTTTAGACGCGAAGACATTAATTACTACTCCTCCCAAAGAAGTTTACTATAGGATTTGGGAACTGTTTTTATGTATCTTATGCCTAAATGTGTGAGCATGCACACACACGCACACACACAAGTGAAAGCAAAAGTTCTCAATGTGTGGGCTCAAGTGACTCACTTACCTTGTCTCAGGATTGTAGCCTAATATGTAGAAAAATGAATCCACTCGGGCTTTAAACTCTCTGGCAGCAAATATGTCAGAAAAATGAGAGATGTTGCATTTTCCTCTGAAAACGAACAACAACAAAACATTAGAAATACTCTTAATGGCTTTGCAAACCAAAATACTATTGAAAGGGAAAGGGTAGTGGAAGCATAAAATTGAATCCATGGTACTCTAAGAACATGTAGAATGAAGCTACAAACTCCACACTTGATCACCTATTCAGAAAACTGGGATTCCCAAAAAGCAGTAAAACAATGTCCAATAAGGTATATTTTGTCATTCCATTACTGCTTCACTATACAACTTTACAACTTAACTCCATTTAGCTTGCCATTTTAGCCATAAAGTAAAATTAATTAAATCACAAAGCTAAACTGGGGGATGACTGTGATGAAAGGATATTAAACAAACTAGAAAGGGGAAAAAATTAAAATCATAGTCCATTTGTTTAAAAAAAAATCCATCTAAAGCCTTTCTAAATCATCAATGCAAAATGGGCTTTTTGTTTCTGCTACAAAATGATAGGCAGAAAGTATAACTGTTAAAGTGAAAACTGATACCGTCTACTATTTCTCTGGAATACAGCTTCTAGCCTATATATATATATATGTATTTATATATATATTTGAGTCTCTCTTAACAAGCAAGAAATAAACTAACTTGGAAATTAAAAACTACAGAAATTTTATTTTTTTTTATATACAGATGAGCTTTAATATGCAGTCTTCAATTTTTCATGTAACAACACTTTCCCATAGAAATACTGCAATAAAGACCAGTAAGATTTCCAGGCCCATCTACTAACAAAAGTTAAACCATGATATAGGTAAAAACTCTACGATATTATGGAACTCCTAAGCAACGTTTCCATGCATTCCAAGTACCAAATGTAAACGCCAGAAATATTATATCATGCAGTAGTGCCCCCTCCCCCACTGTCATGAGGAGCCAGAGTGGTTGAAGCACTCTAGTGCCCTCAGTGGTCACAGTAGATAACTTTAGAGTCAAGTGGAAACCAAAGGCTGGGACTAGATTAGATAAAGTCTGGAGGATCAAAAGTCACCATTTACAACACATGCACGAATGCTTCCAGGCATGTGGCCTCCCACTGGTTGAGCAGGATTTCCATTCATATAAGGATTTCATGAGTGTACATGATAACAACATACACACCAGCTAATAGCCAAGATGTTAATGACAGGAACTGGCTAAAAGGTATCAAATTGAGGATATTCATTCACTTCCAACTAAGAAATTAAAAGTAATGTCCTCCTTTCCCCCATGGGCTTAAATAACTGTGACCAAACCCTCAGTAACACACAGAAGCTAAGATGGGCTCAGATCATTTCCATTTTTTAAACTAAATAGCAATGCTATTCATTAAAGTCCCTTTGGGAACTACAGATTAAAAAATAATCCAGGGCAATTGAGCACTTAAAATGTGGCTGATGCAACTGAGGAGAAGTGAATTTTAAATTTTATTCTATCTTAATTTAAATTTAAATAGCCACATGTGGCTAAAAAATCTGTTGCCGACAAGTCGATTCCGACTCATAGGGACCCTACAGGACTGAGCAGAACTGCCCCATAGGGTTTCCAAGGAGCAGCTGGTGGATTTGAACTGCTGACCTTTTGGTTAGCAGCCACAGCTTTTAACTACTGCACCACCAGGGCTCCACATGTGGCTAGTGGCTACCATATTGGATAGCACAGATTTGTAGATCACAGAAAGTTCTACTGGATGTACTGACTTGGAGGTAACAAGATTTAAACAAAGGAAAACATGGACTAGGATTCAACATTCCAGGCCCAAAATCTATCCCTCTAGTATTTAACTGGAACTAAAATGAGTTTCTGGAAAAGAAAAAGTTGATAAGATCACTTTTACAAATGAACAATCCCTTCACTCTGAAATTACCATCCATCTAAGTGAGTTAGTCATTAAAGCCCAGAAGAAATAGAGAAGTTCCTTTATCAGTTAAATAGAGATAATGACACTTGTCGTACTTACCCCATAAGGATATTAAGAAGAGCAAACAACACAGTCTATGAAACTTTGTATACTATTCAGCGTTATTTGAAAAAAATTATTGTCCATCATTGTCCATTACTAGAGGAGCATGATGATTATATTCTTTTGTTTTCTCACTGTTAAACTTTGGCTAAGTAATTAATGTATTAATTAAAAGTGCAAAAGCCTTAAAAAAAAAAAAACCAAACCCGATGCTGTCAAGTTGATCCCAACTCATAGCCACCCTATAGAACAGAGCAGAACTACCCCATAGGGTTTCCAAGGATCGACTAGTGGATCTGAACTGCTGACTTTTTGATAAGCAGCTGAACTCTTAACCACTGCGCAACCAGGGTTCCAGAGAAACTAGCTCTGGGAAAATAAAAATAAGTAATACATTTCTAGAAGGTAACCCAGGAACTAGAAATTAAAATAATAATATAATGTGAGGAAGTCCTAAAGAAAGGCCTGTCGAGATCACATGTCTCTAACGATCACATCTTTGTCCATTCACCTTTTTCATGCAGAATGTATGTCACAGCAAAAGCGATTGAGACTTTCACATAGGAAACTCTGAAGTATTACACCAATGAAAAATAGTACCAATATCAGAAAACTGGTATTGCAATCACCGTAACCATTTCACAGAAGCCCTAGCAACCCACAGTTCTAAATGTCTCTTAACACAAACACAGACACTGGAAATAAGATATGTTTAGGGTGGTGTTTCTCAATCTCAGAACACTGACATTTTGGATGGAATAATTCTTTGTTGTGAGGAGCTGTCCTATGCAATGTAACATACTGTACGATATTTAGCAGCATCCCTGGCCTCAACCCAGTAGCACCCTCCCGTACACTGTTATGACAATCAAAAACCAAACCCATTGATGCTAAGTTGATTCTGACTAATGACGACCCCATGGGTTTCAGAACAGAACTGCTCCATAGGGTTTTCTTGGCTGTAATATTTACAGAAGCAAATTACCAGGCCTTTCTTCTGTGGCACACCACTGGGTGGGTTCAAATTGCCAACCTTTAGGTTAGTAGCCAATCGTGAACCACTTGAGCCAACCAGGGACCTATGTGACAATCAGAAAGTATTTCCATATATTGCCAAATGTCCCCTGGGGAGGGCAAAATTGTCCCTCATTGAGAACTGGTTTAGGGAAAGCCAAAAGCAGTAGGAATAGAAGTAAATCATCTGGAAAACAACTTTGAAGCTGTAGTAAATGGGATTTTCTCTATCACTGTGTTCTCTATCAGAGCCCTGGTGGCACAGTGGTTAAGTGGTATGGCTGATAACCAAAAGGTCAGCAGTTCAAATCCACCAGCCGCTCCTTGGAAACCCTATGGGGCAGTTCTATTCTGTCTAGGGTCACTATGGGTTGGAATTGACCAGATGGCAACAGATGTTTCTGTCCTCTATCTGCTTACTGTTTACATATATGAAGGCTATTGATTTTTGCATGCTAATTTTATATCCTGCTATTTGACTGAATTCTTTTATTTTTTGATATAGTTTTATCATGGATTCTACGAGGTTTTCCACGTATACTATCATTTGCAAATAGAGATAGTTTTACTTCTTCTTTACCCTTTCTTGTGCCTCTAATGGCAATGGCTAATCCCACTAGTACAATGTGGAAAATAATGGAAACCTGTGCATCCTTTCCTGGTTCCTGATCTCAGTGGAAATGCCTCTGGTGTTTCCCCATTAAAAAAGATACTATCTTTAAGATTAAAGTATATCTCTTTTGTCACATTAAGAAAGTAATTCTCAATTTGTATTTTCTTGAGGGTTTATATCATAAATGGATGTTGAATTGCATCAAAGCCTTCTACAGAGATAATCATATGGCTTTTTTCTCTTAGATTTATTAATATGCTAGCTATATCATATTAAAAGAGTCTCTAATACTGAACCAAACTTGCATTCCTGGAAGAATACACTCCACTTGCTCATAATATATATATATATTTAAATGTTATTCAGTTAAAAAAAACAAACAGGATTTTAATAAGATCTAATGTTTTTCTTCTATTAATTTCCACTTTTATCTTTATTACTTCCTTCTTTTGCTTTCTTTTGATTTACCTTGTGGCTCTTTTTCAAGTTTAAGCTGGGAATTTAATTCATTTAATTTTTATTTTGATTGGTGTGTTTAATGGAGTTAATTTTCCTCTGATTACTGCTTTAAATGCATGCCATAAATTCAGGTAATATTTTTACTGTTGCTCTTTAAAAATTATTTAATTTCAGTTTGTAGTTCCCCTTATACCATGAGTTGTTTAAGAGGAAGTTTTAAAAATTTCCAGGTAAAAGGGCCTTTTTTGTTCTTTTGTTTGTAAACTTTAGTTTCATTGCATTACGATCTGATAAATGTTTTCTTTGTAACCTATGTGATCAATTTTTGAGTATTTGCCAAGGTACTTAAGAGGAATGTACACTCTCTTATTATTAGGGTAATGCGTTCAATAAAGGAGCCCTGCTGGCACAGTGGTTAAGAGCTAGGGCTGCTAACCAAAAGGTGGGCAGTTCGAATCCACCAGCAGTTCCTAGGAAACCCTATGGAGCACTTCTACTCTGTCCGATAGGGTCGCTGTGAGTAATGGATTTGGTTTGCAGTTCGATATATGTCTGTAAGACTAAATGATCAGGAATAAATGTAATAAAAAACGTATAAAACCCATACAGATAAAATTTAAAACACTCTGGAAAGACAGAAAAACAAAGCTGAACAAACAGAAAAACATTTCCTATACTCAGATAAGAAATTCAACATGTCATTTCTGAACAGGTCAGTAATCCATAAAATAAATCCAGTGTGATCCCAATAAAAATACCAACAAGCTATTTTATGGAATGAGGCAAGTAGTACTGAGATTTAAATGGAAAAAGAAATCACTGAAAAGGGGGCGGGGGAATAGTCCTATCAGACACTAAAACATATTATAAAGCTTTTATAATTAAAAGAGTGTAGTCCTGACACGTAAACAGACAAACACACCAACAAAACAGAATAGAAAGTCTAGATTTATACTTACAA